AATCCTCAGGGCAGCAGAGGCCAGAGTTCCACTGGGCGTGAGCCCTCTGGGAAAGCACCCCCAAGGATAAGGCCATGCTTATTTGGGAGCATCAGAGGAAAACCAGCAAGCAAGCCCTGAGAAAGGGTTCAAACCTGGGAAGTCGTACCTTTATGCTCCAGCCCTGCCATCCAAGCACATTCAGTGGGGCTGGAAAATCAGTCTTCATCCAATGGACACTAGCAATGCCTTGGCTCCAGGACCCTGCCCTTGCCCACCCCTGGCCCTCGCAGACATAGCCTGTCCCTACACCCCTTCCAGAGAGCTCCTCCCTATCCCTGAGGGCTGGCCAAGGACATCAAGAGCCTTGGGGGGCCTGTCTGACCTACCTTCTTCTGAGCCTGTGTCTCTGGTTTCTCCAGACACAGCCAATTTTGACCCAGCCGACTCAAGTCCAACATGGTACCTTTATGGAAATGAATCACACCCTTGCTCCCTGGCAAGAGGCCATTTTTGGATCCTGAGGGCTCGTCTCAGAGTAGGACTGACCTTCCCACCAAGCTGGACTGGGCCTGAAGTCCATGGCCTCATACCTAGCCCCTCAACTCTAATTCGAGATCATCTGGGGCCTGGCCCTCAGTCCTCCTCTGTGGGCATCCTGTCTGCTTCCTCCTCTCTGGACTCCAAAGACATGCTGGAGAGGATGTCTGAGTTCAGTTTCAGCATCCGTGGCATTGAGAATGGTGTTCTTGGCCACCTCGTCAGTCACATCCTCGCAGGATACATCTTCAGTCATCAGCTCCTTGCTCACACTGCTAAAGAAGGCAGTGGAGAACAAGGCATGAGCTGCATCTCTCTGGGAGCTGAGGAAGGCAGAGGCTCTGAAGCAGCTTCCGTCATGCCCAGCTCTGCATTCCTAAGAGGGGGGCTTTCCAGTGCCTCAGGCCCCCAGCCGAGGTTTGCCATGAGCCCAGGAGGGACCCTTGTCTCCCGAAGGAGGCCCATCCCATCCCCCAAGTCTAGCCAGACCCTTAAGTCCTCTGCACCCTGGGGTTCTATCTTCTTCACTAGCATTTACTGAGCATCTGCCCTGCACCAGACACTGCCAACAGCGTCATGTGGGCTAAATCCTCCCTGAAGCCCTGTGAGAGAGAAACGCTAGGCCACATGTCTTCGCCTCTCTGTGCCTCAGGTTCCTTGTCTGTGAAATGGGGATAGTGGCAGGACCTGCCTTGCTCTTGGTGGTGCTTAGGATGAAGTGTGAAAAGGCACGTACAGAACAGGATCTGACAGGGAGTAAGTGCTCAGTAAATGTCAGCTGCTATCACTACTGTTATCATTCCATGTTGCACATGAAAAACTGAGTCTCAGAGGTACTAGGTAATCTCCCTGTGCATATGCTAGGAAGTGGTAGCAGAGGTAGAAACTGGGTTCTCTGGAGTTTGTGTTCTTAACTACTATGCTATTAGTCTGCTGCATTGCCCTTCCCCTTGCTATAATGGGGAAGACTCCTATTCATCCTTCAAAGCCCTATTCAAGTGTCACTTCCTCTGTGAAGCCTCCCCCAAATCTCCCAACTAAAGCTCCTTCCCACTAGGGCTCCTAGAGGTCCTATACATGCCTCTGTCAGAGCCCAGCATGGTATCTGTCTCCCCATGAACTAGGGCTTACTTAAGGCTGGAGACCTCTTACCTCTGACAGTCCAGCTTTGGGACAATGCCTAGTACAGGTGGTGCCCATGAGAGTTTTTGGACAGGGGAAAGGAGGAGGAGGATGGTGGGGAGGAGGGCAGGGGAAGCCAGGGGCAGCACCCTGTGGTGTGAGCAGGGGGCCGTCAGGCAGCCTCTGCCCTCACTGTGCTCGGTTCCCCTTGAGTCTGGGCAAGAGCGATGGGCTCTGTTAGCTCAAATCCCATGAGGGTTGGTTCTGCCAATCGTGACAAGTGGTCTCCAGGGAGCCCTCAGGAGATAGAGGCCAGAAGTGCCCATCAAGGGGCTGGGATGGAGCTCAGTTCCAAACAGGGTCCTGGGCTGCTAGGACTAAGAGGCCACAGAAATGAGTCAAGACTGGGTCCTTTCTGGAGGCCTGGGGGTTCAGGAAAAGGGAGGCATTCAGAGAGCTGAGTGGTTCCCAGCCAGACTCTGCCCCCTGGGAGGGGAGGGAGCCCAGGGCATCTCCAAGGGCAGCACCCAGGCCAGAGAGTCAGCCAGGGGCTAAGGAAAGGAGAGGACCCAGCCCAGGCTGGGTCCGGGAAGCCAGGATGGGTGCTGGCAGAGGCGGGGCTGGACAGAGGTGGACGGCAGCAGTGGGGGAGCTGGGGAGACTGTTGTGGACACAGAGTGGCCCTTGTGTCACAGCCTTCCTGGAAAAGGGGCAGAGATGGACCACGCCTGACACCCTCAGTACCCAGAGTGGTGCCAGAGAGCCAGGCCCTGTACTGGGCACAACCCCGGGGAAGGTGGCCCAGGATATCTGTGAGGGGCTGATCTTGTGTTTATGGCAGCAGGGAGCAGAGGGACAAGGACAGGATGGCCGAGAGGAAGCAGAGAAAGACAGGTAGGAGGATGAGGCTCTGGCTGACGAACACCAGGGCCACCATGGCGCCCGCCGCCCAGGCCAGAGACACCAGCCCCAGACCTGTGGCCTTGCAGGAGGAGGGAAAAGCTCCCTGGGGGCCTTGGGGGCCTAGAGGCTGGGCAGGTAGAAGCAGCAGCTCCTCAAAACCCACACACTCCAGCCCCGTCTCCACCCAGCTCACTGTGCTAGGTCTGCCTTTGGGCCAGCACCTTTCCGTCTCTGACCTTGTAGGCTGACAGAGGGGTAACAGGGCATTGGGGGGATGTCTGGGGAGGGTGAAATGGGGCAACCCACATACACCTCTTAGCAGTGTTGCCAAGTGGGTGCCCAGTCTTAATGGCTGTTACTTGTCTTGCCAGTGCTCTGCCCCCACGGCCCCCACCCACCAGGCCCCGTACTGAGGACGGTGGGGAGGAGCTTGGCAGTGTAGATGAACACGGTGACCACAGTGGCCATGCAGAACTCCCTGAATATGACCATTAAGACGAGTAGGGATTTCGACTCTGTGGCCAGACAATGCAGCCACCTGAGTCTCAGGGAGGGTGAGGGAGGCCCACCCGTCAACTCTCCCTTTGTCCCTTTCCAAAGGCATCTGAACAGTCCCACCCTACCACCTGGTCAGCTAGTCAGCAGACGTGGCCACCAGTCAGAGGAGGGTCCATCTGTCAGAGGCTCAGCCAGGCTGGGAGTTAGTGCATCTGCAGTGGGAGGGCTGGTCAGCAGGCAGGAGGTCCTAGCAGGGCCCTGCGGCCACCCAGGCCACCGCCTACCACGCTGGACTCGGCCCCACACCTCTGCCTCACACCCTGGCCCAGAGGCAGCTCCCCTGCCCCACCACGTGCTCCTCAGGCGTCCACTCGGAGCCAGGTCTGCATCCTGTGGGTGGGACTCCTACTCAGGGGCCCTACCTCCCCTTTTACCCTTTGTAAGGCATACAGAGCCAGGGGGCTTTGGTCCTGGGCCCTGAGAGGCTAGACGTTCCAGGATGCCCGACTTTAGGCATCCAGACGTGAGCACTGAAGAAGGAAGAAACTACCTGGGGGAAAATACCTGTCCTCAGGCACGGTGGGCAGGTACCGGCCTTCTCCACCGGCCCCAGCCCCTCTCTGGCCCCAGCCTTTCCTGGCTCTGGGATGAAACTGGAGACCTAGTTTTCTCTATTAGGGGTTCTTTTCCTAGTTTCTCTCATACATTTGAGAATTTTAAACATTTTCTGCTTGACTCAGTTTAAAACCACTTTTTTAAAAACCACCAAGCAATAGAAATTTTTTTTTTTTGAGAGGGCATCTCTCATATTTATTGATCAAATGGTTGTTAACAACAATAAAATTCAGTATAGGGGGGTCAATGCTCAATGTACAATCATTAATCCATCTCAAGCCTAATTCTCGTCAGTCTCCAATCTTCTGAAGCATAACGAACAAGTTCTTACATGGTGAACGAATTCTTACAGAGTGAATAAATTCTTACATGGTGAACAGTACAAGGGCATTCATCACAGAAACTTTCGGTTTTGATCATGCAATATGACCTATAAACCATCAGGTCAAATATGAATATTCATTTGATTTTTGTACTTGATTTATATGTTGATCCCACATTTCTCCTATTATTATTATTATTTTTATTTTTAATAAAATGCTGAAGTGGTAGGTAGATGCAAGATAAAGGTAGAAAACATAGTTTAGTGCTGTAAGAAGGCAAATGTAGATGATCAGATGATCAGGTGTGTGCCTATGGACTAAGTATTAATCCAGGCTAGACAAGGGCAGCAAGACATCCACGGATGCAGAAGATTTCTCTCAAAGCAGGGGGGGTGAGGTTCTGAGCCTCACCTCTGTTGATCCCCAAATTCTCACCTGATGGCCCCCCTGCGACTGTGCCTGTCTTAGGTTGTTCCTCCCTTGAGGAATCTTACCCGTCTCTGGCTAACCAGTCATCTTCCGGGGCCATACAGGGAAATGTAAAGTTGGTAAGTGAGAGAGAAGCCATATTGTTTGCAAAGGTTAGCTTTTTACTTCTTTGCAGATTTATGCCCTGTGGCTTCTATGCCCAGCACTTGTCTCGAGGTATCTTTACCACCTGGAGGAATTATGATACTCGGTAAATTCGATATGAGGCACGAATTCTATTTAAGGTTTGTAATTAGGAAGGAAGAAGAAAAGCTATAGATGTAGCATATGAAGGAAACTTGGGAGGATTGATTATTTCTTTGACATATCTTCTTGTATAGTACCTTAAGTATGTATAGGTTTTAAACTACTAACTAATTTGCACACACATATTAACATAATAGGAATACGGTGACATAAACAAAGCAAATCTATAATTACCATCCATCTCCAGTGAAGCCAAGAAAACCATTTAGGCACCGTAGGCATTTGTGAAAATTTATCTATGATATGATGGATATTGTCCAACTGTACTTGAACCATCAGACAAATTAAAGCAGCCCATTTCTGGGATCTGTTCACATCCCATATGTTCTTTTAACATAGATAGTCTATAGTCATGAGATTTTGGAGTGCTACAACTCAAGCAATAGAAATTTAATAATGGGTTTGTTTCCCCATTCTGTTTTCACCAGTCAACACTGCCAACATCTGGAAGAAGAAGGGTCCCAGTCAAGACACACACATTTCTTACCCCCAGAGAGAGGGAGAGATCCACTGGAGGCAGGCCCTGACTGCAGGACCCCCTGCCAACCCCAGCAGTGGGGGGGATGCTGGGCGTTAGCCCTTCTGGTTATGTGAACACCAACATCTTAATGCCCACTTACTCAGCCCTGCCACTGTCCAGCCCTGTGACGTGGGACACATTCATTGTCTTAGGGCTCTTTAAAATCTTGAAAATATTGCCAGCTCCCCACCTTGCCCACTTCCTCCTCAAGTTCTGAGCCCACAGGGTGTAGGGCACCACCCCATGCGAACACTGTTCCTAGGAGTTTAGTCCAGGGTCACTCAATGTTCAGCAGGCAGGGGACTTTCTCCTAGTGACGGTACCTGTAACAGGCATTTCCCCACAAGAGGCTACGGAGGAGGAGCAGGGCCCATGGTAGCCACTGGAGGACCTTTTTTGCTGCACCTGCTCATATTTAGCTCAGATCTGACAGACTGGAAAGGGGCAGGGAAGGCCCCTCTCTCCGCACAAGGGCGTGTCTCTGGATGTCCCTCGACCTTGCTCCCCCTGCAGCCTGGCCGCCCAGCTCCTCATCAGAGTCCTGGTTTGCAGTCCCTTTGGCCAGTCCAGGACACTCATCACACGCAGCCCATCACCAAGGTCACCTTGTGGAGATGCCTGTTGTTATAGAAGTCCAGAACGGAGGCCTTAGTCCCCTTCTTTCCAGGCAGATGCAACTACAGGACAAGCAGGACCAGCCAGAGGCAGGGCTGAGACACCAGCTTGTTCCCCATCCCCCCAGGACCACAAGGTCTGGCCTTCCCCTGGCAGGGTTCAGAGGGTTCAGTTTTGCTGTCAGCATTCTTCTCAAGCTGTGGACCGGGCACACCCTCTGTCGGGGCCCCAGCTGAAGGAATGAGGAGGGAAGAGGCCCTCACACAGCTCCCGGCCTGGCCCTGCTCCAGGCTGAGGCCTCTTACCTTGTCCAGCAGCTTGAAGGGATTGCCTTTTTGTTCATGCCAGCTGTAGAGCACAGCACTTGCTTGGCCTCCTCCACCTTCCCTTTCATCATCAGCCACCTCAGGACTCCAGAAGGATCCTGCATGGTCCGCCCCTTTCTTATCCACCATTCCAGGTGCCCCAGAGCTCCCCCACCTCTGCTGCGGCCATCCTGCTCCGGCATGGGGCGACTCACATGTCAGAGGCCCTGAAGGTGACCATCAACCTTGAGACTCCCTGCCCCCCAACCAGCAGTCAGCCCTTCCCCTGCCCCAGCCACACGCAGCCCCCACTGCTGCTCCGTGTCACCCCGACACTTGCTGCCTCTGCCCTACAGCTCCTTCCCTTTCAGAATCTGTCTTGTCTGTCTCAGTCAGGGGTTGTGCCACCCGCCTAAGCGCTCTGAGGTCACTGTCCTCTGTGCCACAGCCTCTGTTAGAGCCCATCCTCCTGGTCGGGATTTATCTGGTCCCCTCTCTATCTCCTAGTGGCCCAGAGAGTTGGGGTGGGGGGCACAGGTCCAGCTGCCTCTGCTGTCCCATCTCTGTCCCCACCACATCACCACCCACTGCCTTTGAATTACACTGGTGGCATAGCTGTGTAAAGAGAGCCTTATGGAGTTCCCCTTGCTCTGTGGGAGCTGACCTCTGTGACCTTGGGCAACCCCTTCCTCCCTGAGACAGGGAATGAAATTGGAGGTAATCATACCAGGTCCAGGGCTGGGCCAGAACTAAACCAGCTGATACATGTATGGCACTGAGCACATTCCTAGCACAGACCTTCCCCCTGGCTGTGGGGAACCCTGGACCCCCAGTCAGGCACAGGACTCAGGTCACTGTGCAGTTTGCACCTGGAGCACAGGGAGGAGGAAGTGAAGCTGCATCAACAGAGGGGCAAGGCTGAGGGTAACCACAGGGATGAGGGGAACTCCAGCTCCCAGCCCCCTCAAGAGCAACCACCTCGCTTGGG